AGTATACAACACCACAAGTTGAGTTCAGACTCCAGCAAACAAAAATCTCAATCAAGTCACCCAAGATATTACACCAACTTCAGTTCGGTTTCCACCCGCTGAACTCCACAAACCACCCCTCAACAGGGCATGAAAACATTTCAGCTACTTCTACATCTACCCAGCCTACACTTCATGACTAACATAGAGCACCTAATGCAGAGGGATATGGGAAATCACTAGTCTGAAAGCAACTGATATAAAAACCAGCAAATTAATATCAATGAGTGAGTCAGACTTCAGGAAGGAAGGAATAAGGTAACAGAATAAGCTTCTATTTAGATGCTTTTTAGCATGAAGAATTAAAATGAACTTAATCAAGGTTCAGAATTATGAAGGATATTACTCATGCAATAACATCACCCAATATAAAAGAGAAGGAAGCTGATGGAATTCACTGCTCCACCATGTATGAGCAGTCATCCTACAGCTGGACAACTTAATAAGCAAAGTGACACAGGCTGACATACCAGCTTCATCAAATCTTACGTTTGAGGGTCAACTGCTTTCTATCAGAGTGCATAAAACACACCCTACATCAGACTGTACACAGGGCTTCTTTCCTCTGACTCACAGATTAACTACAGCTATAGGACTTGGTGAACCAGTGGGTTGACCTAGGTAGGAAGTCCTAAATTCCTACATAAATCAAAGGAAACAAATTGCACAAAGCAGTAAAACAGGGTTTGGAAAGACTGCCTGGCATTTATCCTGCTGTTGTGCTGACCAAATTGGTCAAGGAGTTTTTCCTCCAAGAAAGACTGTGGCATGTGTTTTTCAGAGCTAAACAGGAAGTTAAGAGACATACTGGGATCAAAATAGACAGTTCAAGACCAACCACTCTGCTGCCTTCAAGCCTCTAAGCAGTTTTTTATAAGCCAGTACATTTGAATAGCATATGAGTAACAAAATGGAAAAAAGAGAGGAAAGCCAAGAGGTAGCAACTCCTCATACTTACATAACTGTATTGTCATCGACTAAGATATCACAGCCATGAGCAGGGCATGAAATGGTCTGTAAAGAAAAAGGTGACAAAACGGAACAGTGTTTATCCTATTTTTGCATCACAAAGAATTCCAAGGCAACAGACTTCACTACAATAGATAGCAAAAATAGTACATTGACTCTATCATCACTTCCTAGACATGCTACTGTGCACAGCACAATTCCTCCCACCCAGGGCAGACACCTGCACTAACTGCATGTAGCTCCCTCCAGCTTCACCTGTGGCAAAGAATGCAGCTCACAAAGATCTCAGGCTTGGGTTTTCTTTGTTGTTGAGGTTCTTTTGTGGTTTGTTTTGTTTTGTTTTTTTAAACCTCAGTAGGGAAGGATTCTCCCCTTTCTTTCACCCTCCTCTCCACTACACAGAATTTCCGTAAGTCATGAGGTAGGTGACTTGACATTTTACCTGTCCCATGCCTTCCTCCATTATTTTGGTAGTTAAATATTCACTCCAGCACTGCATACAGAACTTGTGTCCACACTCTAGGCCAGTAAAGTACTGCAATGACAAAGAACACAAGACATTGGATCGTTTTATCACGTGGATTCACTCGACCATTTCGCCCTTCTTGGTGCTGCGCAGTTTATCACATCTCTCATCCCCCACACCAAACTTAAGACACTACCATTTATTTTGCATCATCACTACTACAGAACATTGCCAATGCAGCTTTAGTCATGCTTTCAAAGTCAGACTTTAATCCCCAACCCTAGCAGCAAGGAAAGGTGTGGCTGATGTTTCCATCCTGCCTGCTCATTTAAACTGAACCTCCTTGTAGCAGTACATACAGAGCGGAGCACAGTTCTCCCCTGTTTTATTCTTACAAATGAGTAAAATACATGCAACACCGCCAAACAGCTCACAGTTACGATACGGAGTCTTCTTTCCTCCTATTTTTCCACTTGGCTTCCTACCACATGTGGGTGCTGCCCAGAAGTCCCAGAATATGCACACCAGCTATGCACCACAGGCACTAATTTAGCTTCCTCTTGTACAGGCAACAGTAAGTGATCAGCGAGCAGTCTGCATTACCGGGTGAGCACTAAACAGCAGAAATAGAAAGAACTGTGTGCACTTATGCTTTTAAGGCATATATGCATAAAGTTTGAGTTTGCCAGCTTGCTTGGTAAACTTCCCCCTGAAACCCAGATGCTCATCAGATGAAGACACTAAGGATCCTAATTGGCAGGTGTAAATTACTAAATAAAATTCAATAATGATTAGCTGTTGCAGACAGCAACAAGGACAACTTCATCTCTGTATGCATCATCTACACAGAGTGTGTCAAGATACCATCTGGGACTAAATGGTTACACAAGGGGTGGAGAAGCAAACACTGCTGAGAAAAGACAGAAATTACGTTACTTTTCTCAGGTCATCTTAAAGCTATTTTATACCCAGAGCCAGGGGCAAGGACAAACTATATTTAAAACAGTTCACTCATACCACTGTGCAGGTTACTATTTGATGCCTTTGTGTTTTAAACTATCTTGTTCTTAGCCAATGAGATAAAACAAGAGCTCCACTCCAAGATACCATCAACTTGTATGAAACGCCACAAATCAAAGAAACTTGGTATCCTCTGCAGAACAGCCCAAAACAGCAGCAGGATGCTGTTAATTAAGAAAGGAGAGTCCATTTTAAGAAAACAGTATTTTTTTCCCAAACTGCCTCCTTGACCTTTTTTAAATCTTCAGATTGAAGATTACAGTCGCCACATCAACCACTTTATTCACCCAAGACTGCTGTATCAGCTAGGTTACACTCATCTTTCCATGCTACAGCACTCAGACTGTGCAGGGAAGGTGCTCGTAAGCACGTTCTTCCCATGGCCTCGCCATTGTGTGAGTCACACTCATCTGGCACTCCCGCCATCCACCAGGGCACAGGTTCTAACCTGACGCTTGGAAGTATGCTGTGGTGCTGCTGCCAGGAGCTCGACTCCACCTGCCATTCCCACAGCCCTGCCAGAGAGCACTTATCACCAGCAGCAGCAAGAGGGTTAAAATCTAACCTGACCAGTCACTGAGAAGTGAGCTGAGCATCTGACTTCATTCCAGGTAAAAACAGAGGTACCACCCCAAAAAAAAAAAAAAAAAAAATCAAATCACAGTGGTGCATCCTGTCAGCACCGTGGGTTTAGGAGAGAGGAGGCTGACAGGTACGGGTGGTACACAGGTACACCAAGACTGGAAAAAAAAACACTTCCAAATTTTGAACCATTACTGAGCCAGCTAACAAGGTATCTCATGCTCCATAGAGGCTGCTGTGGCCAAGTGACGTCCCCTGGAGATGCAGGGTTATGACAGGAAAGCCCCAACATCTGTAACTTTCAGGATGACAACAGCACACAGCCTGAAGATGGTACTGACTTTTCCCTGAATTACAGCTTTTCCACATGTGATGGGAAATAAGCATCGACAAGGGGATCACCCCATAATGAACCTAAATAGTCCTGCAGCAAGCACACACAGGGAAGCACTACATCTTCATTTAAGATTCATTTCACTTACTTCAGGCAGGGAAAAGATTTGCTAAATGTCCACATAAAAAGGCAGCCACTACACTTCCTCCCAGGTTGTAAAGAATTCAGAGTATCTTTCAACTCATTTCTTTACTTTGAGGGAGTTCCCAATTATTTTTGGCTAAGCTGACAGCAGATGTCAAGGGAGCAAGCAAAAAGGCTGACATGAAACCATCAAGTGCAAAGCGTAACAGTGACTTCTGAAACAGCATGCTATCACTGAGGACAGCTCTACTTTCACCCTATCTATACCCAGCAGCTCCTTTTCTTGCGAAGCCAAGTGCCAGCAGCAGCATGCTGCCATTCGATACCTGTCCCTGCTCTTCTGGTAGCATCAAACTGACCAAAGAAAGGATCAGCTGCTCCAAGATGCATTTACCATGACAGCCTCACTCAAGCCTTCTTTACTTCAGCAATGATGATAGCATTGTCAGACCGAGTCACCTGCATGTCCTTAGAACAAACACAGTCTGGACAACAGCACAACGTTCCCCAAACATCCCCACCCCAGCAGCCTTGCTCTGAAAAGGGACCTGCAGGATGAGATGCAAGAGAGGAATCAGGCAAAGCCATGATCCTCTCAATTCCCACCTTCACCAGTAAGGTTTTGCCCAAAGTAACTACTGGGACTTGGACACTGGTTCATGGGGACACAGAGGGGCTAAAATATCTCCCTTAAGTTTGCAAACCATCAGGGTGTAGGCTGCCACAACAGCATCAAATGCCTGGTTTTGCAGGTGCTTCCCAAAACCTCAAATCATAGTTCTTCAGAGACAACTGAAGAGCTACAAGGAGTTCATGCTTCCCTTGTATGTGCTTTAAAAGGCAGACAACTACCACCTGCAGAGACCTGTGAGAGGGCAAATATTCAAGACTCTTACACTCCTGTAATAGCTGTACATTGTAAAATTCCTTAACAGGCCAGTTCCGAACTCTCAGCTTTCCATAGGCTGAAAGGGGCTCTCAGAAAAAGATACAGGTTTGGTTGGGTTTGGTTTTTTTTTTTTTTTGTGGGGGGGGGGGGGGGGAAGCCGCAGGTAAAAGCTGACCAAAGAATATTTAAAACCTGACATGTTAGGTGTGGAACATAACTTACACTAGAATTTATAATTCACATTGACCAAAAGAGCTTCAACCAGATTTTAAAACAGATGGCTTATGGTCCCCTTACACAGAGACACTACAGCCTTTTACAGAAAAAACAACAAGTAATAGTTCTACTATATGCTCCAACTTTTATGTACAGCAAAGAAACAAGATTTTCCCTTTTCCCCTCTGTCGCCTTTTGACTTAACTCCAACAACAGACACACCCCTGCTCACTTGCAACGTCTCACTGCTCCAGCTAAGAAAGCGCTCTAACAACTGGACCACTACTATTTGTAAAGGGACATTTGAACTGCAAAACCGCGAGGTATTAGTGTGCTTCGTGTAGTTCTTTCCAGCAGCCAGAAAGCTGCTTCCCAGGCAGCACATGTACCCCAGCCAGAGGAAAGGTCTGTCAGTGTGAGCACTGGGCATATTGTTCCTACCCAACACAGCAACTACATAAAAAAGGGAAGAACAATATAATAAGAAAATGAAAGCTATATCTGGTATTTCCAGGAGAACCTTTTCTGGAGATGGACATTAAGATGCTAAAGACTTCTCCTCCCATTTCCCCCCCCCCCAGTCCTTCCCCTACTTTCATTAAAAACGTTGCATAGCCTGAAATAAAAATTATTTCCTTACTGCCTAACATGAGAAGTCTGCAGTGATTAAACAGCAGGATTTTAACATAAGGTAGAGGGGCCAAACAAATTTCTCAAGGTTGTCTTTTTTTTCCAAAGCACCTCTTTATGCAAAGCAAGCAACAATACTCCTTTACAGCTATTCTCTAAAAAGGAAGTCAGGCACACAAAGCTTAAAAGGAGATGAACAAAGTCTTGTGGTTACTGGCTCAAGAGCAATAGTGATCTTAACACTGAGAATCTCAGCAGCCTCAAACTGGGCTTTGCCCTGCTCTGCCTGCTCCAGAGCAAGGAAAAGGCTTGCAGTCAGGCTACAGCAGCAAGGGTACTTTATTCAAGGCTGCTCATAACCCCCAAAGATCATAATGGTTTCCATTCTTGCTGAAAAGCAAGTTCATAAAACATGGAGAGTAAGAGTGGAAGCCTTACATAAGGGCTGCTTTGCTCTTTAAAGGGCAGGCAGATGTTACAGTGTTTTGGAGGGTCAAGGGCAGCTCCCCCAGGAACAGTAAGTTCCCATAAAGGAAGAATTCCTCACGTACGTCAGCACCCTGCCTTTTGGCAAAGCCACGGATGAACTCTCATATTTGAGCTTTTCCAGTAATCTCATTTTCTTCCAGGATCTCCCATTATTATGTCCTGCCTCAGAAAGTCAGAGCAAGCTGCTTGCCTGTACACAACACAGCAGAAGCCTGGACCTCCAATGAGTGTATGGGAAAGCTCAGTATTTGTCAATCGCTACAAAAAAAAAAAAAAGAAGCACCATCACCAATCTTACCTGAAACCAAAAGACTAATTTAGAGCCCCAGCAAGCACTTCCACCCTCTTCTTCTCCAATTAAGAAGGTATTGCACAAACATGAGAAAGGTCCAAAGATACCCACATTAGTAGTGCTCTCTGAACAGCACAACTTTATTTTACTACTTCTCCTACTCAGTTTTATTCTAGGCTTTCCAGCTTGACTATTTTGTATTGTTATTTACTACTCTTATAAGCTGGTTCCTGTCTTGTCACTCTAAGTAAATCTCTTTGCCTGTCATGCTTTCCACATATTTTTTCTTTCATGTATCATTTATTTGCAGTATCTCAATTGGTACCCGACCTTTGTAAAGATCACTTGATGTGCTGCTTGCTTTTTTCTGAAGAACTTCACTATATTGCTGCCCAGACCCCAGCACCCTCAAGGGCTTTTGCAGAAAGGATAATCATTTTATTTGAAATGCAATCCTATTTCAGGTAAACTAATACTGTTTGAGGTATGTTTAAAAAAAAGTTTATCAAACCACACAGTAAAAATTAAAAAGAATACATGAAGCACTACATAATTCTGTGGTCCCTTACCACATCACGTGGATCAGCTGTAGCACACAAGTCATAAGGTTTATTGCATAAAGAAACAATCTTCAATACAGTTTTTTAATGAAAAATATTTTAAAACCCCACCCAGATTAGAAGTCTCAATGAAAAGAAGTGAAACATCAGTTTAATTTCAAAGTGGGTTTTTTTGTTGTTTTTTTTTTTTAAATACACTGTTGGGTAAGTCCCTACAGACTTCTGCCCAAAATGTTAAGTTTCAGACAGCAAAGTTTGGGGAACTACTGGTCAGATACCACCCTGACTGCTAGGTACTCACCGAGTTCGGGTAGTTCAGATAACAGATCTGACAAGGCATATCCTGGGCTGATGACCTTGTGTTCATCTGGCGCGTTCGAGACTTTTTACTTGGATTAATTACGTGACACTCTGCAAAGAGCTTCTCCAAGTTGCCATCAAAGTACCTGCATAACACACACAAGAGAATGAGAATTTAACTACCTTCCTGGTAAGTCATTTTTCAAATTCTATTTGGGAGTTAAATGTACAAAGTTGGTTTTAATGTTTCAAGAAACTTACATATCCACTTCTAACAGACTTCACTAACATAACACACCATGGCCCTGACCAGAGGTGGATACCCGACAAGTACATCTTTTCAGAGCTTCTGGCTTGAATTGCACTCTCAGGTACCTTCAGTTCTTCAGCTGCACTTCAAGTAATTCATGATTCTCCACAGTGATTGCTTTGCTTAAAACTCGAGGACAGAAAACTAGAGCAAGAATGTCCTACTTCTCAGTCCAGGCACCAGGACACCTTCCTAAAGCACACGTTTGATGCCCCCAAGTTCAATTCTCTTTTCAGCTTAAGCCTGCCTTTTTTTCCTAATATTCTAATCACTAAAGCATTAAAGAGGAGGCAGGAAGCAGCAATCAGTCACAGCTCGTAATTCAGTAGGTCCCTAGTTCCTGTTCTTCATGTTTTCCTCCATGTACTCAGTCTACATTAAGTGTGCCCCAAAGAGGTCTTGACTTCAATTTTGGCACTTCCTTCTCGGATCTAAGGAGAAATGCGTCAGCAGAGTCAGACACTTCAGCTGACGGAGCACTTATGCACGGTCACCGATCTCCAATCAAGGCAACTGCAGGACTGCCTTTCACACACTTCAGTCATCTCCAGAGTTCGGGAACAACTGCTGCTAGGTCTGCACTCTGATCTCCAGTTAGGCCAGTCCTCAATTTCACACAACACTTTCCCTGTGTCCAAAGCCTGCTCAGGCCATCTCTTGGGCCAAAATCCTAGCCACTTGAGTACCTTCTATCTACCATCAACCTCAGGTATTTTAACAACCTTCTGAGAAAATACCCTTCTAGGTTTACAATACATCCAAAGATTAGGTATCTGATGGGAAGAAGGACGCAAAACTGGCTGGGGGTAGACAACAGACTACTTTCTATTTCCTATTCCCTTAAGGAAAAAAATACTGCTTTGGTTTACAGGCTTACAGAAAGCTCTTTGACTTGGTGAGGATGACTAGATTTCAAAGAATCATTAGTAGGCAGGTCAGCCTCTTCCCAGTATCAAGACACCACGTATCTTTCCCCAGCCTGAAGCAGCTGCAAAGAACTAATCAAAATTGACAACCAGCTAACCTCACCTGCACACACATCCCCCATTCAAATCCAGTAAACAAGTCATCCCCCACCCCCAGCAGCAGCAGCAAGTTAAATCCAAATAAGGTGGCACCTGCCTAGGAAAAAAGCCCTACATTTGCCCATAGTGAAGTCACTTAGGTTTAGGACCAGTAAATTTACTCCCAGCAGACAACTGCTCCTGTAGCTAAGCACACAGGCAAGGCTGAAGTTAAAAAGCCTTTACAAGGCACATACTTAAGTTTATCACAAATCAGATTAAAAAAAAAAAAAGAAGAATCTGCTGTCTGCCAACAGACAGAAGAGAACCAAGACTTTCTGCTGGGAAGAGAGATTACTCAACTCAAAAATGTGGGACTGGGCCTGTTACACAGCATCTAACCAAAATGCCTCTGGCTAGATAGTCTCATCCCGCAGTATACCTCAAAAAGTCCCAAATCCATAGCAGCTCTCTTACAGCACTACCTAGCAACAAGACTTGACTTACAATTAAAAAGGGTTAATTTCACTGCTGGTTCATGTGTTTCTTGATGCAGTTCACATACTTTAGCTCTTAATTTTCAAGGTACTGAGTTTTAGAGGTAGCAGTGAATTCTGGCATTGCAGCATACACAAGCCTTTGTCACTGTTCTTCAATGTTAGCTCAGGGATTTAACTCAACCAAGTTATTTTGTTTGCCTTCAGGATTACTTTTATCTACAAAATTTTAACAACTTAATTCAGTGCAGTCCCATCATAGTATTAGAGTCATGGATAAATATTAACTCCACAAAAGGTTTCCAGCTTTCAACACATCACCATCAGTGTAGGACACCCTCCGTTTGAGAGGAGCAGACCAACAGTTGGGTATGATGTTTGCAAAGAAAATAAATCGTTTCAAAGACAAATGTTACGATGCAACTTCAATACTGGCACTTGTGGTCAGCTAAACACTTATGGAAATACTAGAGGTGTTTGGAATGGTGGGCTATTTTTTAAGGGTGCATATCCATATCAGAAACTTGACTTTACCACTTCCACCAGGCAGTTTTTTTTAGAAAATCTCTGCAAAAGCTACTCTTTGAGCCATAACACTTACTGTCCTACACCAAAGTGTATAGACAAAAACTTGCCAACAACCGCTTTTCAGCTGGAAATTACCTATCCCTCCTAAACACCAATGGGTAACCAATTCAGAACAACCATTTCCTTCCCAGGCTTTCAGTAATTTCCCAATAACAGACAAAAGTAAGTGATTTGACATCATGTGTTCCTCAGAGCTAAAGGCTAGTGAGAAAAGTAACTCAAGTAAGATAGCCAATTTAAACATTTCCAAAGCACTGAGACACTGCAAAGCATGCAGGTACTCACATTTTGGTACAACCACCATAGCCTGTACTAAATCACTTCCATATCAAGTGCCTCGTCTCACCTACACTTACACAGGAGAAGCAAACGAAGCATCTGGGAGACTCAGCCAGGGCCAGGGCCATGCAGAAGAGGGAAGAAACACAAATCTAAGAAAAAAAGGTAAGTTTTGCCTGTTTAACTCTGCTGCGCTCTTAATTCTTACAATATTCAGTCTGCTCTTTGGGATTACACTTCTAAACCTCACCAATGTTGAGGAGAAACAGGGGACTGGGTACTCCTCTTTCCCCATGCTATTTTCTTCTAATGCATTCGCGTTCTTTGCTGTGGCCAGGGTGCACTAAGCAAGTAATTTCAACAACTATCTGCACATACATGTCTCAGACTCAAAATCATGCTGTGACGTAAGAAAATAAGAACTCTAGAAAATACAGAAGAAAATCTGGATCTCCCTGAAAAGACAGTGTCAATGGATACTCCAGAGTAAACTCCAACACCTCTCTAACTGCTCCACCGCTCCTTACGCAAACACACCAAGGGTCCACTCAAAAGACTGTTCCAGTTCCTTCAATGGTTCGGAACGAATCTTAATTCCAATTACCATGCCTTTTTTCCATTTGTTCGAGCAGCAACACAGACCATCCATTTAAGCAGATCCCCCTTTGCCCTTCCCATGTTCTTTGGTCAAAGGAGCCGCAGGCAGCTGCTATAACACCCTTTCCCAACACAGCAGATAACCTCACATGATGTTGCTCCACTTCCTTGTCCCAGCAAACCTTCTCAACCACCAGTTCCCATTTCCATGCATCCTCCTTGAACCCAAGGAGGCCAAAGCAAATACAATCCCAGTTAAGATTCCACCACGATCTCATACGATTTCCCCTGTATTTCTCCTGTAGATATCTCACCTAATGCATCCCAAATGACATCTACCTTTCTCCAGAGCTCCTTCATGTTAGCAGCTCCATTTTAATCTCTACTAGAAACCTCATTCTTTTCCATCTCTGTGTTGATGAGACCTATTGTGACACTTTGTACTACTGTCATTACTAGGATCCTCCCAGCTGTCTGGTTTTTTCCCTGCATGACGTCTGGATCCTCCTCTGAACCAAATGCCTCCTAACAGATTTGTGCCAAGTCATTCATTAACACTAACAAACATTCATCCCAAAACCAACTGATAACAGACTTACTAACAGGTTCCATCTAGTCTGCTGCTTCCCTTTTGAGCAAAGTAACTCTACAAACCATACCAATAGCTGAACACAATGTCTGCCCCGTATTTTATACAATACAGTTGCATCCTATCATCCCTGCTAAGAAACATGGGAGAAAACCCCTTTAATTCCTTCCTCACTTCCTTCACAACTCCAGGGTTTTTGATTTCTCCTCAAGTTCTCACTATTAAAGGGTTGCTGCTTGGTAGCTCGGTCCTTATTTTCGTCTTAGGGAGGAACACAGCACCTTTAACAGCCTTTTAAATCCTCTGCCCTCTTCTCACTTTGCAAAGCAGATTATTCAGTAATTCTAGCACTTCTGACACTTGAGAAACGTTATGGTCTATTCAACTCTATGCTAGACACTTTGCTCAATATAGCCGACTTCAACAACTGGTTCTATTAGTTTTTCAAAATTAATTTTCTTCACACATAAAGCTGTTTTCTCTGCTACTTTAAAATGAACAGACACACCAGTGAATTATTTTCAAATTGTTCTATAATTTCTTCACTGCTTACCAACACCAAGTCCATAATATAGTATTAAGTCTTTTGGACAGAGGGATCAAGCCGTCAGCTTCTTTATTTCCTCAAAATACCTTTCTGCTGTTGGTAACTGCCTAATCACAGTTTTCTAGACATAATCAAATCCTATCCAAGGGAGTATCAAACATAAAAAGGTTTTTCACTGGGAAAAAAAAATGCTTTAAGGACATACTTTGGGCTATTTACTTTGGTGAAAGAGCATTTGTGCATGTCAGAGAATCAGTACACTCACAGTAAAAGATATCTTCATACCAGAACGCCTGCCATACACAATTTTTCACCTGTTCAGCCTCTGTTGAATAGCGTTAAGTACTTATTTGCCCAAAGGAAAGCAGACAGCCAGGTACCCACAGAGAAGAGTGAGGCCCTGAATGCAAGGCAAGAGGCAATCTGGGCTAGCAGCCAAGCCACCAGGGCCATCCTGGCATCCATCCTCAGCTCAGAGACAGCAGAGACATGTGGCCACCAAGATAAGCACCTACAAGGGACTGCAATACCTCCGTCTGCATCTCCAGGGATTAAATCGGGCCTTTGGTTACATGCTGAAATACCTTTCTTTTTAAAAAGTGACCAGGAGAAGGCACATAAAGCAGGAGAGCTGTGTTTTAGTCTCTTCATCATGAGGAGGTTCATTCTGAAAACTCCCCTCAGGAGGGACAGATGCTATCAGCCATAGTAAAACTGGAAGGCAATCAAGATAAAGTTATAAAACTAAAGCACTTCCTTCACTAATTTCTGAAGTTATCTGGTCAATCTGTACCTGCTAGTGTCCTGTCTCTATTAACTAAGCTTGTGAGACAGAGGAAAACATAATACTTAACATCATTATTCTCCAAAACATGTGTGGCATATCAGAAGCTGAACTCTAATACTTCCTCCACTACCCACTTCCATCCTACAGACAAATCCACCCCAAAACACCAATTTTGGTTTCAGACACAGTCAAATAACTAGGGCTTCACCAGTGGGATAGGGCAGTTTTTCAATTGTGGCTATTACTTCATTGTAAGTGGAATAAATACCTGTGACATTCTGCCCTCTTAATAATGCTATGTAATTATTCCATGACAAAGCTTGCACAGACAATAACAAACTGCTTATTAAAGTATACATAATGCAGAAAAAAAAAAGCAATGAAGACTATTTTCACGTTTTAAAACATGGAAATTTTCATCTCACAAGCTCAGACCTCACCACACTCAACACTTACCAAAAAAAGAAGCCACTTCATTTATCTGTTTTACTACAGGCAAAGTTTGATAAGGCTGCCTGTTAGGTCACGCTGACTCATGATGAACTAAGGTAAAACAGACACTGGCTAGGTACTGTAAATATATGCCATTAAGCAACTGAGTTCAAGCTCTGACTTGGTGTGAAATCAAGCACCAAAAATTGCACCCAAACATTACATTTTAACAAGCATTAAACCCACCCAGACTGCAGGCAACAACAGGAATTTCCTGGGAAGTCTTCCTAATGGTTATTAGGAGTAAAAGAGGCCAAATTTATACCAGTTCACTAAGAGTCCCCCAGGAAAAAAAAAAATTTAATTCAGCACTTGCAGAACACGGATTCATTCGGTGTGAAACAACACCGAGTGTAAGCGCTTTTACTTGGCGCCTACAAGAAGTGCAAAAGCAGCAGCTACCTGCTGGGTCCCCAGCACGAGCAGATGCTCCAGCCCTGGAGTCAGGCTCTGCCTGGGTTTAGCCTGCACAGCGATGGGTGAGCACCAATAGGTAAACCAGCACACAAGTTCAGCTGTTAGCAAGCTGAGGATCAAACACTAGACTTTCACTGTCTTCAGTGTCCAACCCAGAATGAAGAGTGTCACTTTAAAGTAAAATGTAAGGTTTGGGCTTTTTTCCTTAAAAAAAAAATAAAGTAGTGTTTAAATTTAATTTTTCCCCCAATTAAAGCATGCCTCTCCACCTCATCATGAACACTTCCCAGTGTTTTTCAGCTCATTTACACTACCACAATGCTGCAATAAGATTTGCTGGACACACACGAAGCCAAGCAAGTCTCAAAAGTGATCTCTGTTCTGGAAGAATAACAGTCTGTTTGGGCTTAATCAGCTTGTCATGTTCATTTAAATGAGAACCACCTCTATTTTAGCAAAAAGAGGTGATATGTAGCTAGCTCATGGCATCATTTCCATCTCCATCACTATTTCAAACTGACTGTTTTGCACCCTGGCTACTGAGGTGACCACCTGCCTCCCCTTGCCTTCACCTATTATAGCAGCAATCACAAAAACTTCTTGAAGACTCAGAGCCAGCTCTCAGGCTCTTCCCCAGCCTCCTGCTTCTGCTCTAACACAGCTGAGCGTCAGCGGAGCACTACAATGTGCTTCACAGAAGCTATTTGGTAAAGAAGTGACAGAAAGCAGCACCAGCTACTCCATGTAGCCGATGTTTTTCCAACATCAATTAGCACCAAAACCGTGACTAGTGTGCAGCAGATCTGCATAAGCAAGGGTCACGTATTGTATTACTCACAGGGGTAATCCTATAGAATTAAGATAAGTATTTTAATGAATATGTACCAAGAGTAAATGTTTACCTGTAGACTTTGTAAATATTTACATGTATTTAAAGTATCTTGGTTGGAAACTGTAAAAGTCTTAACAATACTACCTCACATAAAAGTGGCTGACATCCCCCTTTGAATAAACCCACAACCCATTTTTTTTTTTAAATTGGTGGCAGCCTTAACAAGCTTTTAGCAAGGGAAAAAACCTACTGAATAAAGGCATGACATTTCAGTACACTTATGTAGAGGTATCTCAAAGTGAGATGGAGGTAGCCAAGGAGAGTGAACTTTAGCCTGACCAAAAGAACCAGCACAAGAAACTCAAATACAAAGAAGTGAACAGACACACATTCTAGAGAAGGAACTAAATCAGAATGCTTAACAGTTGTAGTCAAATAGCCTCGTTGTAACACAAAGCTTTCATACTTCCAACATTAACTAAAGGAGGTCAATCTCAGGAAAATAAAGCAAAGACTAGAAAGCTTTAAAAAATACAATCACTTCAGGAAAAAAAAAAATCTAGGCCAAAAGATAACTGAGCACCATCACTAACTGAACATGTTACACAAAGGGGGCTAAAGGTGTCCTAAATCCATTATCCCAGGATAGCAGAAATACTTAAACTCCACAACTGAAAATGAACTGCTCTTCCACACTCGCATCCTGCGTGGAAGAGTACCAAACCGCTGAGGCTTAGCCCAGAGAGGCTGTTAAGTGGCATTTATCAATTCAACAGTACTACTAGCAACTGTTTCTGTTTCACAGACTACAAAGCACCCTATCTTCTCATACCCTGATCATTAGGCAAAGGAAATGGTAATTGAGAGGAAGTCAAACAAACAATCCTACCAGGCACTAAGTCCTTCTGCCCTCACCCCCCACCCACTCATTTGTGTCTCTTAACACTTTTTAAGACCAAAGACCCTAACAACCAGTAAATCCCTGTACTGCCTTTACTTCTCCTTCTGGTCCAGACTAATCCTCCCCACAGCTTCCACAAGTAAACTGAGTTCTCCAGCTTCCTCGCACTCACTTCAAAAGCAACAATGGCATTGAAAGAAAAACCAAGTGTATTACCACTTCAGCTGGATTTTGTCTCCACTGTATAATAACAATCTATAAGAAGTACCTTTACCATCAACACTCCAAGAGCTCGGAATCAAAGATGAGAAATAACTATAAAACGCTCCACTCTGAAGGGGAGGGAAAGGCAAAATTCAAGCCACTATTTACACATATTAAAGAAAACCTAGAGCTGCAAAGATGAAAACAAGGCAGATGCACTTTACCAGTACCCTTTATCAGTCAAGAACAATTTAGTCTTGGCAAGACTAACAAATAAACACGTCAGGAATACGCACACTAGCATGACAGACATGCGTGAGCAACTAAACCCAAATCCGTAACAGTTGCAAGATAACAGGAACCTGTTCCTGCTTGCTTTTTTTTCCAGAGCCTGTGAAAATGCTGTGCCTGTATGTGTGTTCCAACTGGAAGGCACCCCTTCCTCCAATGGGCAACTAACTTCCATAACTTACCTGAATTCTAATAGGCATTACTAATACAAAAAAAAAAGTCTCTCTCAGCTGGCAAAGTCTAAGGGGGAACATTTAGAGCATACACAAGAGATTCTCCTGCCACATACTGCGCATTCATCCAGTAACAAACGTTTCTTGCAGGTCTGAAGTGAAATGTGGCTGCATGCTAAGATGGCTGCTTACCTCTCCATGAGCTTCTCTTTATCCCAGTTGAAATGGCTAAGCAGTATTCGAGTGATAGTCGCTGGATTCTAGAGAAAGAAAAATAATAAATAACTGAGTAACTGTTTCATCAAGTTGGTATACTGTTATGAGAACACCAAGCAGAGTTTTGAATAAGCAAATGGGGAAACCAGCGTGCCTGATAACATGATTGTGGACAGTACACATTAACTAACATACTGGAAAACAGTTTAACTTGACAGATAGAAAAATTTTTTAAAACTCTATGAAGAAAAATGTCTACATGAAATGAGAATGCAGTTGACCACTTAAGGAACAGGTTAGTTACTGCTTCTACAACAGATGCTTAAGTGACAACATCTCCATGTCCAGCGTGCTTACACAACATAAACCCAGGATGTTCATAACATGCAGGAAGGGCTAATTGCCATCCATCCTACCCATTTTTGCCACAACTTCCACACTATTTGCAGAGCAAGAATATTCCTTGTTTGTCTCAGCCTCGACCACCAAAACACTTGGGCTGCAAACTCTCCCAGCAAGTAACTGGCTGCCAGTGTAAGATGACAATATCCTTTGAAGTCTCGAGATGTTCCCAAAGCACCCCAAGATTCAGAAAATGCTACGCAATTATACAACTAAGAAAAGAAATACGGCCTAGAAAGGTCAGAAATAGGACTGGAAGTAAAAGCTGGTTTTCACTTTTACACAAGTTTTTCTTCCAACTTCATCTATCATCAGCCAAGGGTTTGGTCATATGAGAAACTTAAACCATACGGCTTCTGTTACACCCCAGAACCATGATTTAGCTCCCTAAATCCAAACTCTCTGGGCTCAGTTTTAGGACCATTTACATGCAGAGACAACAGTGAGTGCCCTGAGAGTGGCTATGTGTACTTTGCCATTTGACACCAAAATGGAAGTTTGCCTTAGGGCAAATTTTCAACGGACACACTGAAGCTGTTGAAAAGTAGGACATAAACTAGCAATGTGATTTTCTGAGCCTGCGGGCTATAGCTACAACTTGAAGCTGCCAAAAGCCAATGCTACCACCCAAAGCAGTGATGCCCCCCCATCCTTACCCTCAGCCACACGCTTGCAAGTCCTGCACTCACCAGTCCATGCTAATACAGCCATCTTATGCTGCAACACTGCAAATTACTGGCTCAGAAACGGATCCTTTTTCTTCTTTTCCTTTAAGTTCTTTTTTCACTCAATCTGTTTGATTCCCTGACCATGCAAACAGCTGCATTAGCACAAGAGAAAGAGCAGGAGGGGACAAGCGGGACAGCATCTTTCAGCAGTGACACCAACAAAACATTCACTGAAATGAAGCCCTAGGGTCAAAATCTAAGCACAAAGAACTAGGCTTGTGGTTTATACTATAAAAAGTGACACTCCTCTCCCTCTGCAGTGCGTTCTTACTTTTATTAATGCCAGCACAGCTTGTTTAAGGCCAAATCAAGACATTTTTCCCCACTCAAAAAGCCCATGTGAACAAAAGCAGCTTTAGATAGGTTAGACCAGATCCCTGATCCAGTCCATCTGGAGTCCCATAAACAGCTGGGATGGCAAATCTGCTACACAGTACAAGGCAGAAAAAACAGAAACCGGTATTGCCAAACACAAGTATTGTGAAAATGCAGCCCCGGTCCCCATTTGGACAAGCCTCCCAGCTGATACTGAGCCAAGCTCCTAACTGAAACGACACAGCGAGGTGCTTGGCTGACAACCACTTGTGACTGGCCATTACGAAACAGCAAGGCAGCACCCCAACCTTCAGCACGCTAGCAGGAGTTGGGATAACAGTGCTGCAGCCGCCTGCTAAGGAGGCGATCCCACTTTTAGACAGATCTACCCATTTCTTCACATCGAAAGCAGTCATGGTACAACTCTGGGACAAGAGGGACTAGCTCGCTGCTGATGGGGTCATTTTCCCTTCTCTTTGTAGCTCTCGGCCAAAGCAGGGAGCTGATACACCGTGCCATGCAAACGCCTCGCAGATACACAGAGTACGTACCCTGAGGCAAGGATGAGAGGCTCTTTGGGCAACTGGATGGTCTTTGCACGGATTCGATCTCCTAGGGAGACGCACCCTCACCTTTTGCCCTGGCAGTGGGGCCAACAAGTGCTCTGACTGGCCAACACTGCTCAAGCTGTTGCAGCAGCATGGGAATCATGCTAAACCAGCACAGAATCCAATTAAAAAAAAAAACCACACCAAAAAAAAAACCCACAAGAAAAAGCTTTTGATAGCATCAATCCCTGATCCAGCACAGCGCGCAGTGGCACAGAGCCTGTGCCAGCGCTGCAGACCGAGGGGAACAGCAGTTGAACTGTTTCAAGTCAGTCCTGCCACCAGGAAGCTGTACGGGAATTTAAGGGTCTCCTTCAGCAAAAGGCTACTCCAGCTTTGGGGAGGAGGACTGCAGCCTCTTTCAGGGCATTGGTTTTGATCTTTCTAGGCTACTTTCGGGTCTCCACAACATCTTTTTCTGTAATACTAGTTGTATTACACAGCAGTAACTGAAGAAGCTCTTAATAGCCGACTTTAACACGCACACTTCCTAAAGCAAATCAATCAAAGGTTAAAATATACTTTAGCAAACAAACTGATCTTCTCTCTAGATTTTCTTAGTTATGATAGTAGCTCCTACAGTCAGTACAATTTTTTTTTTTTAAATCCATTTTCTAGGACAAGTCTTGCCTCAAATCAGGAAAGCTCCTGCTAAACACACCAGGCAGATAGCATGTATGGATTTCCCCACGTAATCCATCCAGCACTCACATCTATAAAGCACATTACTTGAGCCCGTCACCCCTGCCATGCTCTAGTTACAAAGGAGTTTCAGACAGTAAAGCATGCAGCTCTTCTCAAACACAAGGATTCTTCAGTCAGCCCAGAGATCTGCCAGATGTACAAACAAACAGAATTTTCTTAATTTCTCCAGCAACAGTATTAAGAGAGCTTTAAATTAGCCTCAAGTCTTGTCCTACCTTCTGCTACAGCAGCCCACTTGGCCACTGTATTAAGGCTTCTGGGAATACCTATTAATCACTTAATAGGCTAAAAGGCAACTGAGGTAGTGGTCTCTGGCTGACTTTTCTTTTCAAAGACGATATACAGGTTCCCCCTGAACTCAAGGATAAGTTATGCCATATTAATAAGGAACTAAAACAGTCTGCAGTGATTATCAAGCACAACAAGGCAAATCCAGCAAATACCACTCACCAAAGGACATATGGTCATAAAGAACAAGAGGGTCTCATTTCATTTGTGGCTTCTCCATTTTCCCAACAAAGTGGCACCACAGCTTTCCAAAGCAAGTTTCCTTAGATCAGGACACACACCCCCCAAGTATCCCAGCATCACAAAAAGAACGCTGTTCTCCCCACTACAACAGGACTGTACAAAACAGCATGTTATTTAGGATTATAGCACTGTTGGCTTGATGTACCCTAACACAAATAGGGTGTGAAAGGTAGCTTTTACTGGCTTGTTGGGCTTCAGCTTCCCCTAGCTACAGCAGTATTTGTCCAACATGTTAGTTCAAAAAAAAAAAAAAAGGAAACACCAGCAGCATGACAAGCTCCTACCAGAAATAGCTGGGCTGCCTGCTTTCTCTGCTTGCACATCCAAGATCTAGTATTTAAAACTTAACGTATAAATAGTTGTTTCACCAATACAAAAGGCAAGGATTAAAACAACTGTGCCCTTGCTCGTACGCAGTGTGGACAGCAACACAACCTGAGCCGGCGCTGCACAGGGAGGACCGAAGACAGAGGAAGGCAGGCTAAGAGGCTTGGTTTGCATAACGTGAACCACAGTTAAATACAAATGCAAAACCCCCTAGCATTAAGGGCTGTTCTAATTTAAGGCAAGGCACACCAACAAGGTACCGGGTAACAGCTGCTCCACATTAATTGCTTGCATGCACACACCAACCTCACAATTATTTGGGAGCAGCTTTGGAGAAGTAAATCACAGCATCTATCACAACAAGATGTTAACTGCTGCAGAACAGCTATGTCCTGTAACTCAGCCATATGGGGTTAAAACCACACCAAAATAATTCAATGTTTCAAACTCTGTTTTGACACTCGTTCTGCTACAGCCCTCCATCGACCCTGACGCTGCTGTACGAGCCCTCAGCAATCACTCTGGATGCTCACTCTTCCCAGTGCTGAGAAAATTAACAATATTTGAACAACACTACATTACACAGCACTGGGATATCACAGTTTCTTTTCTGAAACTGGATGAGCTTCTCATTTAGCACACAGGATTATTGTCTACAACTCTTACACCACAAAGATTAGTTATGAACAGGCTACGATGCTGCTCAGACGGGATTACTACTTAGGCTTGAAGCTGCAGCAGGATAAAGCATGCTTTTACAAAGGGTATTTTCTGTTTACGAAGAAAAATTTTAATAAGTGAAGCAGCCAGAAACAGACAGCAAGCAAGGAAAAAGTGAACACGTTCAAACGCTCTGTTTTCCTCCAAACATGGTTTGATGAAAGCTGAAACAGCAGATCTAATTTACAACAGCCACCTATTAAATTTTACATGTTGAAGCCGAGGAAGATTGCCTAGAGCTCAGCACAGCGAGCCTGTTGATATCGAGATAGGAACGGAACCCGAGGAAAGCAGCCATTTTGTTGAAATTCTCAGGGCACTTGGAAAGACTCACTGTCACAACTATCTCGCTAACAAAACATTCATAATAAAGCTCTGCCCAGAGAGAAACACAGTCAGTCCTTCAGCAGCGATATATTATTTATTTATTTATTTTTAGGCTAACAAAGCAGCCAAGTCCCAAACATGCTTCAAACAGATCCCACTTCACCACTGCTTTTCACTGGAGGTATTTACATTTACTATTGTTATCATTGTTGCCATGTTCGGGCACACCAATGCAAGCAGGAGATACAGGGACAGGAAACCCTGCAAAGGTCTGGACTTCTCCAAAGAAGCATTAGTAATTGAAATAAAACTCCTTAATTTAATAGAGTTTAGTTGGAAGTTGGAAGCTTGGTCAGTGATACCCAAGTTGAATTCTT